GCCCGATTTTTCAGCTAAGAACGAGAATGATAAATATTCGAGTCTACAGATTTGCATCCTATACGTCCATCCCCTATGCATTTCGGAAAAACGAGCGAAGAAATAGGCCAAGTTTTGAGATCGAAATTTTGCCGATACAAAAAAAGTAGTAGTTACAACGTCAGAATCGTCAGTATACATCCGAAAGGCAAACAAATAAGCTCAGAAAGGCTTATTGACAGGACACCGGGCGAAAATGGTATGCTGACAGGACCGAGGGTCGCTCCTTTTGTTGAGAGTTAAGCCAAGACCTTCTGTGTTTTATGCCAAGACCAGTCGGGTTGTCAGTGCGGTATCCCTTGTTAGTGATGTCACTAGGACGCCAAGCACAGGTATGCCAGACTTTTCGTTCCTGACATAGGTGGATCCAAGGAGGGGGGAAATGGTGAAGGGTTTTTGCCTCTTACTTCCCTTCCCCTCCCTCCACCTGCAACGGCACAGGCATCAGTGCTGCAAAAGTCTGGGTCTGTTCACATATAAAACTGAAGTAGCTCTGAGTAGCAGTGTTACAACTCTATTCCTAGTTTTTGCATAGTTCCAAGGTGGGAGAGGGCTCTTCCTTTCTCCCCACCCGTCCCCGTCGTCCTCCCCTCCAGGAGCCCCAGTCTCCCTGCCCCGTCGCCCTTTCACCTTTCCTCAGGAACCCGTCCTGGATCCGCATATGATCCCTGAGCTACTGTGCTGGAGTGTCTTATATAACAACAAATATCAAAAATAAAATACAAAAAGTATAAAGGCACACGAAAATGTACTAATTAAAATATCATTAATACTTTATAACAAGTACGAACCGTCATATAGAGCGAGTGATACGTGACTTAAGGTGAGGCCAGCCTGCAACTCAACGCCGAAACTGAGTGAAATTTATTAAGAGGTTGGAATTTTCAAATCCACTCAAAAAATTCTCGCAAAATCATCACATTTGCCTTCCATGTAAAACTCTTTTTTCATGCAAAAGGTGGGAACATTTGGAAGTAGCTGCACGTGCCAACAGTAACGAATGCACGAGCTTTGTCTTGTCACAATCGTTGTTAAATTATGAGACGCGAAAAATCAAAAAGTGAAACGTAAGATACAGAGAAGCTTCTAAAAACCCCAAATTGAGGAAACACGGAAGCTAAACTTCACGAAAAAATGAGCATGTGGAGCCGAAACCTGTCGTTATTGCCAACCGCTTGAATATTTCAGCTGAAAAGCAACCGCAAGCAAACGATCTGTTATCTAATGCAGGCGATTCCGGTCGTTGGCGCGTCTGTAATCCAACGAAATGGAAAGGTATCCCGCTTGGTCTGACACCAGAACAGAGCACTGAGTCGTTGTACCTTGTCGTGGAGCCTGAAACTCTTCCATCTCGAAAAAGATGACGAAGTTGCGGAACGGAAGCGCTGCGGAACTCAAATTTTATTCCAGAAGTGCTTTACGGGTCTTCCTGAACAACAACTCACAGTATGATCTCGACGGCTTCTAACGTGTTAATTTTTGAACCCTACGGATCCAGCGAAGTCCAGTCCGCGCGGTTCCGGTAAGCTAGAGACAGCGAACATCGTGGTCGGATTTGATGTTTAATTGGCACAAAAGGCTAAATCCGCTATGGATTTGCTTCTCTAGTTCCAGGGAATGAAGCCACCGATAGTTTTGTCTGCTGATCATGAATGTATTTTAGAATTTGTATCCGCCATTTTTTATCAGTTTGTGATTCTCATTCCCTTCATGTTTTGGGTGGTTTATTCTTGTGGGACCCTAGCACGCCCATCCGAGACCTGTGATTTTGCTGTTGAATTGTTGGTCTCTTCGATAATTGTTGCACAGTTTGTTTAACTGTTATTATTAGCACTTAATAAATTGTACTAGAAAATGTGCTGAAGACATATCTTTATCCAACTGTAGCTTTAGCTTCAGAGGAAAGTTATTTTGACGCGACACCGCCTAATGGTAATTCACGTTTCTTTT